ACCCGCTGCTCTCCTCAGCAGTGTACTTCATCAATCAACCTGTTCTACTCCCCACTCTGTCTCTGGTGAATCCTCTTACCACCACCACCATATACCTCTGGCCTTTACCCCAGTTTTGTATGCATAAATAAATAAATCTTTTTAAAAAATTGCAGTGAGGACTTGCTGTACTTAAATAAGGACCCAGAGGTCAGGTACATTTATCCTTGCAAGCTAAATTTTATAGGTCAGGTGTTGCTCAAGTCCTGGACATTTCAGGGCTGAATCAGAGGTCAAAAATGGTAATCTTGTGTTGACCTTCATATGTGTGCACTGTGCTAAGTGCTTTGCACATATTATATCCTTACCGAACCCTCTGGTTACTGTGAGATACTAGAAGTCTCATTTTATACAGTGGTGTTCAGGAGCATGAAGAGGTGAAATGACTTACCCTTGGTCATAAAGCTGGTAAGTGGTGAACCTGGGATTCAGATCCAGCAAGTCTGATTTAAGGTCACCTCATGGAGCTTTGGAAACAGTAAAATAGTTTGTGATCAGCTTAACCATTGGCTTCAAACCAGAATGTGCCTTGGAACCCACCAGGGAATTTTGAAACATCTGGATGCCAGATGTTTACACCTGAATCTAGAACAATTAAAACTGAATCTCTCCAGGTACGATCTAGATATAAATCATTTTTAAAGCTCTCTGGGTGATTCCAGTGGATAACCATATTAAAAACCATTGTGCTAACAATCAGTTTTTTCCCCCTTTAACTAGAAAGCAATCCTATATCATCCCATTCCTATGTACCAGCAGTGTGTGATGGCTCAGGAGCTGCCTCTGCTTGGGTAGATCCTTTCTCCCCTGGGGACCCGGCTAGCCCAGGTCTCCATTTTCCTATTCTAGCACACAGCACAAAAAATAATGACTAAGATCTGATATTGCTTAGTTTTCGGTATGTTCGAGAATGACTCCCACAACTTATTGATTAGCTTTACCTTGGAAGGAATTTTAACATCGTGGTACAACTGAAAAGGTGGCAACTGCCTTTGTTGCGAGCAAGAAAAAAGTTAAATGGCACAAAGGTGACATTTAGCAGACTTGTACCTAGGGTGCCGTCATTGATCTTGAGATGAGTGCTGAGACATCGGTGCTATAAACAGTGCTGTGAAGTCACTTGCCACGGATTGTGACAGGGAGGAAATGAGCATTTATTGAGTACTGACTCAGTGCAAGGGACAGAGCGGGGCTTTTCAGACAGGTAAAGGTGGGACTTAAACCTAGAAGTACCATTTAGTAAGCCTCGTGAGCTTGAAGGAGTCCTTTGTGTTTCCTCCATCTGTAAAGCGGAGTTGACAAGGCTTACCTGCGGGACTGCTTTTTGATTAGAGACGGCATACCTGGGGCAGGACCATTGTCATTATTACAAGACAGCCACCATTGTCTTGACAAGGCAACCGTATTACATTTGTTATCTCAGTTAAGCCTTACAACACACCTCAAAAAGCACTTCACAATATGACCCAGAAACAGAGCCAGAGTCGCTGGCTTAGCATCTGTCTCCTGCACCTGAAGCCAGTGTGCTCAGCTTTTCTGGGCTGTCTAACCCCCTTGTTTCACAGACCATCCCATATTGGATTTATCTATTAGAACAGGAGATTCTCTAGATAATAAAATAATACTTCAAAGGCCAGCAAAGAATTCCAGTCATGTCCCTGGCATAGGACTATGTTGTAAGAGGACTACCTGGCACAGAAAGAACAATATTATTTACTCCCTATTTTTTTAAGCCTGCATCCCTTCCTTTCTCCTGTTAACATTCTTTTCAGCATTTATTGTCATCTCGTATTACCTGAGATTTTACTTCTTTGTGTTTTATTGTCTGTCAGCTTCTTGAGGCAGGAGCCAGATCTGTTCCGATTCTCACCATCTCCCAATTTCTGATGCATCAACACTTCTTCATTAACATATTTGGAGTAAATGAAATAGTGAGTAAAGACATAATCTGAAATATGTCAAATCTGTAATGTCTCAGAAAATTCTCCTGAAATTGACTACCCAACTGGTGAGACAGAGGCAAAAGGAGCTTCAGTATTTCTAAGACTTCTGAAAAGAACATGAAAACAATACATTTGAAGCTCAAGTTGGAACAGGAGTTGCTAACGCGAATGTCTTGGGGCTTGGACAGGTAGCACTAGTGAGGAGGCGTCTGTGTCCTCCACAGGGGTGAAGAGCCTGGACTCCCCCAGCCTCTGCTACTGCAAGTGTGTCAGCTCTCACACCTCTGGTCAAGTGACAAAAAGCACCATGGAGGCCCTCCCTGGTGGCGCAGCGGGTTAAAGCACAGCACTGAGAAACTAAAGCCACTTCCGCATGAGTTCAATCCCCGCCTGCCCCGGAGGTGACCATATGGCGTGGCAGACCTCTCCTGACCCGCCCGCTGCTCCCCTCAGCAGTGTACTTCGTCGATCTGCCTGTTCTGCTTCCCGCTCTGTCTCTGGTGAAGCCTCTCACCGTCCCTGAGCCTCTGGCCTGTACCCCAGTTCTGTATGAATAAATAAATAAATCTTTAAAAAAAAAAAAAAAGCACCATGGAGAAAAAGATCTTACATGTTTTCAAAGCAAAGTAGAAAATGTGTGTTTCGATTAGAATTCAGTTTAAATGAGGTAGAAGTGCCTTTCTCTCCCATAGAAAGAGATCTGGAGATGTGTGGTCCTGACGGCTCAGGGGAGTCAGACAGCCAGGCTTCTTCTGACCTTTGCTCATCTTCTCATGATGTCCACTCCCAAGGTCACCCTCATGACGTGGCACCAGCCATTACCTCCACATTTCAGGAGGCAGGAAGGGAACAAGAGAAGGAAAGGGCCAGATGATCCTTCTATAAGGAGACTTCCTGGAAGCTTCTATACTTCACTTGTATTTCATTGGCCAGAACTTAATCATGTAGCAACTAGCGGTGAAGGAGCCTAAAAGCATAAACTTTATTTGAACGGGTGATGTGCCCAGTTAAGGAAGAGGGGCTGATGGATGTTAGAGCTTTAAACTCAGAGTCTCTGCCTGAGTTGGCTTTTCGTATGAAATTCTCAAGGGAATCCGTGAAGCCCAAAAAAGCATATCTGTCATCTGCTTTAGCAGAGGAGATGCCAGTTTTGTGAGCCCTAGTGAAAGGAGCAAATGTGGGATGGGACACATCTCTGTGTCATGGGGGGCTGGTGAGGGTAATAAGCAGGTAATGGCCATCAGGGCCTTCACGCAGGGTGTTCATGTAGCCTGGGAAGTGGTGGGGGGCTATGTAGGGGTGGGCAGTGGGGAAAGGATGAGGAGGTACAGTCCTATGCCTGTGCACCCAGGGAGCACTCCGGGTGTTGGCAGAATAAGGAGGTCCCTGACTATATGGCATCCCCTTCAGGTCTCAACAGCTCTCTGAGGGGTGCAATTTCAGTCTCCACTGAATTAGGCCTTCAATTAGGTCAGGATCCACTCCCTGTAAGGGTGAATGAGCCGAGCTTCCCCCCAAGCTCTTCAGTCCCCTCTTGTCATTGCCACAACTTTGTCCTAGTCTGTCTCCCTGACAAAAGGCTGACAAAAAGACAATCCTGAGTCTTTTGGTCTTGCTAGATGTCCTTGTTAGGAAAAACATCAGTTACATGGTAGAAAAGCCCGGGATTAGCAGGCAGACTTCCCTCACTAGAATCTTTGCCTCATCCTTATAGTCCAGCTGGGTGGACCTTATAAAGTCTAAGTACTTAATAACTAAACTGGGGCCAGTGGTGTTCTTACCTACCACACAAGGCTTTTTGGATGATTCTCAGGGATCAGTTACCATAAAGGGCCTTTGTTTAAAAGTCTATATGCGGGCCCTCCCTGGTGGCACAGCGGGTTAAAGCACAGCACTAAGAAGCTAAAGCCACTTCAGCATGAGTTTGATCCCCGCCCCAGAGGTGACCCACACAGCACAGCAGACCTCTCCTGACACACCCGATGCTCCCCTAAGCAGTGTCCTTTGTCAGTCGGCTGTGTCTGTCCCCACTCTGTCTCTGGGCTGTATGCATAAACAAATAAATCTTAAAAAAAAGTCTATATGCAAATTTAAGGTCTCCTAATGACTCTCTACAAGTGTCCATTGGATGAAATTGATGACGATTTTATTGGCACAAACTTTGCAATGCAGAGTGTAACGCTAATAGAATGGTAAGAATTAGTTCATGTAGCATTCACACCTGAAAAAATGCTAGATGAGGTTGTTACAACATCGTTTACCTTCTGGTCGCTGCCTTGGTGAAATCCAGATTGTTCTGGGAAGGAGCAGGTCACCTATGCCCTTCATCCCCTACTCCCCAGAAGTGAGAAATTGTTTTCTATAAAACAGAAACACCCTTTCACACTGAGAAACTCCCCAACGTGCAGCAGCAGTTAAGTGATGCAGAAACAGGCTGGAGAGAAACGAGGTGTGATGGGGCTGACAGTCTACACAAAAGCACGATGCAGGTGCCCTGGGAAATGAGCCCTTGAACAGGCAGGGCACTGCCAACCTTTGGCAGGGGGGGATTCTAGCTGGGTAATGCCATTGGGGAACAGAGGTCACAGGTTTTCCTTTTACACTGTTATTTTAAAAATTTCAGAATGTGAAGTCTCCTAAAAGCCCTTCTCAAAAAAAAAAAATCACAACATGGCACAATTTGGGAAAACTGTAGTTTTGTGTAGGGTAAAGACTTACAGCAAACATTACGAGAACATCAGATCTATATAAGACAGAAATCTACCCTGAGTATAAAAGTGAGATTCTAGGGCACAAAATATACCTGACATGAAGGTCCAAGTCTGTCTCTTATAGTTGACCCACCGTTCAGGTTGCACGAATGTGGCTGGACAGACAACAGATCTGTCAGTAAGGTACCTGGCCCGAGTCTGGCATTTAACAAGGAAAGAAGGAATGTAGAAAGGAAGGGCACGATCCCGTGTGTTTGAGGAATAGCAGAGAGGAGGTAAGGAAGTCAAGTATCTGAACTTTAACCTGCTAGTGTCAGTTTTCTAGACTGTGATATAAACACAATCAGGCTGCCTATTTCTGCTAAACATGGAGTTTATTGTTATGGTTTGGTACAACTTAAGTCCTTCCTTTCCCAATCCCAGGCATGTTAACAGTCCTTAAAAAAATCATGCTACATTACTTTGAAGGAAAATACTTAACATGTTTAAAGAAATGTTAGAAAATTATTCTTATCAAAACACTTTTTCACTGCATTAACGTGACTTCTAACACGATACCTGTCGATGTAGCATTAGTGTGTACGCACGTCAGCCAGGGCCAGCTTCCCGAGGCAATTCCCTTGCAAATAGCAAATGACACAGTCCTGGGGCTTTGTTCAGAGCAGCCAAAGGGAAGCCGTGCCAACGTTCTGGATTTTCTCCCTCTCAGGAGCCAGTCTCTGGTTACAGCTGCAAATGACCCCAGTTGGACAGAGAAAACTCCAGAACACAAGCAAAGGGAACTAGAAAGCTTAAAAAAAAAAAAAAAAGTAATGACAGGCTGAACCCTGGAGGGTGTCCTAGGTCAATGCTGTCACCACAGTGACCTTGATATCATGGCTCAGAGTCTGCCATGGACGCCAGCATGAAGGAGCTGAATACAGATGAGCAATCGATGTGACAGCTTCATAAAGACCTCGCAAAGACATGCACTGATGTTAGGAGAACTAGTTCATGTGAAATTGGACCGGAAGCTGTCTCCTAGTAAGCTAAGAATAACAGGGAGCTACCTGGATTTTTCATAGTTTACAGTTGGGTGAAAAACGATTTTTAAGTCAACATGCTGAGTTTTATGATGGTGGTATTCTAAAAGAAAGAACAAGGGAATGAACCCTGCCTGAAACAGGGCACACTATTGTGGCCAGGAGAGCTAAGAACTGGTGTGTGACTCTTTCACCAGGGAATCTGTTCCTGTTACTTCTCTGTTTCATAGATTGGCCTGTGACTTCAGCTTCTCAGTTTTACATCAGACCATATGGTAGGATTTGCAGGCTGAAGTGCATATTTGAAGGTTTTCATCCTATGGAGTGCTGTGCCCACACATTTAATGTGCTAAACGGGAGGTTGAGAAAGTCCCAGCAGCTTGGCTGGCTATTGGCTGCCTGGGAGAAGTCTCTCAAGGCACTCAGCAGCATCGTGTTCAGGGCCACCCACTTCTTCAGGTGCCTGGGTGGGAATCCAAAGTCTGCCTGCTTTTGAGTTGGATCTTCTGCTAGTTGACACAGTTCTTAGTGATTCTTCGACTTCTATCTACCTGTCGGATGCTGTCTGTGACTGACATTGATGGTGACTTCTTTTGCAGACATCCGCTTAACATCTCTTTTAGCCTGTTAGGAAAAGTTTGACAATGTGAACTGATTTTCCAAAGATCCTCACCTTTGCACTGATCTCTAGAGATATTCTCTTTCTTTCTCTCTCTCTCTCATGCACACACACGCACACACACACGTGCAGGAAGAATAATCCACAAGACACATACACGTATACTCCTCGGATTCTCTAAGTCTGTTGAGTCTCTCCTACCCACCTAGACAGAGTCTGTCATAAGGTATGTTTAGTACAACTTTGTCTAGTGAATGAAAGAATGAGTCAGGGCTTATCAAAGGGCAGTGTGGAAGGTTTCACCATTGGTTTAGTTTTGAGCTTTGGAGTCAGCCAGACTATGGTTCAATATAATTTCACTAGGAGCAAGTTTTTTCTAACTTCTTCAACCCTTGGTTTCCTCACCTATAAAATGGAGAATAGTAATAGTGCCTCCCTCATAAGGTTATGTTAAGGTTTAAATAAGGTATGCATGTAGGTTCCTAGCACAATGCCTATCGCTAAATGAAAAAATATATAAAAACTCAGTGAGAATAAGAAATAAAATGCAGGATACACCAGTGATGAAAGTCCAGAATATACATGAAATACTGAGACACTGTAGGTTCTCTACCCCTATGTGCCCAGTCCCATGTACTCCCAAGAGAAAATAACTTTCACTAGCGAGGGACAATGTCATACCCATTTGCGCAATTGCATGCTTGGCATCAGCATGAGACAGGCCTCCTGCGTTCCGCCCATCGTGGATGGACAGACACAGGTCCCCCATTCCCAGCCCAGCTGCAGCACATACAGTCAGCAAACAGCCTCCAGCTGTCCCCTCAGGAGTGGTCTCTGCTGCTGACAGCAGCCTCACAAGGGTCATGCTCTTGCTGAGGTGGCCCCATGGAGGGGTAAATGCAAGAGTAGGAAGGCCTGGCCATTAAGGCTCAAAGCAGGCCAATGATGACCAACCGTTTCATCCAGAAGCCCCCGGGAGCGGGGGTACAGCTGGCTGCAGCTGTTGTCAGGCCGGCACTGTGGTTCAGCTATTCCCGCTGTCCCTCCTTTTGCAGCCCTCCCTCCTGTGGTTGCTGGCAAGGCACTTACTGAGGTACGCCCTGCATAATGACATCTCGGGGTCTGCGTCCTGGACTACACGTTCAGTCTCAGAGCCAGAGGAGCGCTCTCATAGTGCCGCTCTCCCGGGCTGGGTGTGAGTGTAGAGCTGAAGGATGCATATTTTCATACAACATGACCCCCAGACACAAGCCAACTACTTCATCTGTAGTGCATCTGGTGAGATGGTGGGCTGTTGGACCACTGGAGAGAAATAAATTGCTCTTTGTATTGTATTTATTCACAAGTGATAGGCTGCTTTCTAACATGCCCCATAACTCCTTGTAGAAGCTGCTGGTGATGCCTCCTTCAGGCCCCCAAGTTGGCTGGTCCACCATCCCCCAGCAGCTGATCACACACAGTGGCACCCTTTTAAGAATTACTCTCATCTGATTGGCGCCATCGTGCCCAGAAATGTCAAAGAGGCTGCACCCTAATTCCTGGAGGCATCTCAAGCCATTGCCTGAAGGCTGGAATTACAAAATGCTGGGCCTTTTGCCTCAAGGGGTATAAATCTCCTTCTGATGCTCTTCATGCTCGAGGGATCCCTGGGGATCAGACTGAGGTTTCACTCCAACTGTTCAGATGTTTGGCTTCCAGGGAACCTCACTTACAATAATACTTTACAGATGATTTGAAGGCTGTTGAAGGATAACTTTAAGCACAAAGAATTTTTAAAATATTTTTAAAATTTTTTGCATCATCCTTCATTTTGTGCATTTTTCCATCTCAGTTGTAATCCCCATGGGCTTTCCACCACCAATTCACCCATGTGCCATCACCATAGTCCAATGCACGCTTTCCCTCCCCCCTCCCCCTGAATTCTGATCCCACTCCCCTTTCCACCCCGATAAAATGTCTCTTCTTTGTAGTTGTTCGTTGTTTTCATTTTTACTCTATTGCATTTGTTTCACTTTTTTTCCCCCCTTGATTCTTTATATTCCTGCTATGAGTGAGACAATCCGGTATTTTTCTTTTTCTTTCTGGCTTATTTCACTTAGCATGATCCCTTCCAGCTCCATCCATGTTGCTGCAAAAGGCATGAGTTTATCTTTTGTGATTGCTGAGTAATATTCCATTGTGTGTATGTACCACATCTTTTTAATCCAGCCTTCTATTTTTGGGCATTTGGGTTGATTCATGTCTTCCCTATTGGAAATAGAGCAGCAATAAACATAGGGGGAGCACATAGAATTTTAACTTTATCTAATGATTTCTTAAAATAGAATTTCATGGGCCCTCCCTGGTGGCGCTGTGGGTTAAAGCATCTCACTGAGAAGCTAAAGCCACTTCTGCATGAGTTCGATTCCCGCCTGCCCCAGAGGAGATCCACATGGTGTGGCAGACCTCTCCTGACCTGCCCGCTGCTCCCCTCAGCAGTGTACTTTGTCGATCTGCCTGTTCTGCTCCTCACTCTGTCTCCGGTGAAGCCTCTCACCACCCCTGAGCCTCTGCCCTGTACCCCAGTTCTGTATGTACAAATAAATAAAAAAAAATAGAATTTCATTTTTTCCCTCTTTCTATTCCCAGTAGCACTGTCTGACAGACAGCAGGCTCTCTATCTAACATCGGTTGAATGAATGAATGATGAATGAATGGCCATATTATGAACTAGTTCCATATGATTTCCATTCTGGGTGTTATTGCCTCAAAGCTCTTTGGGTTGGGGTGTGGAATAGACACAGAGGCCTTATTTGAAATGAGCCGAGTTGACTGCCCTCAAACACATGGGAAGGAAGGGAGCTTTCTTGGTGGAAATGTAATCTTTCTGAATCGCACAAGCACTTTTCTTTAGCATTATTGGCAACATTTCACAAAAGATTGTTAATGATTATGCACAGAAAATGCTCTGCTCTCTTTCAGACTGCTTTTCTAAGCTTAAAAATTGAAGCAAAAATTCACTAGTTGGATGATTCGTAACTTCCAAATCTGTTTGAGTCAAAGGCTTCAAAATAGCACAGAGTCAGGATGCTTTCAATCTCTAGGGGGTATTTCTTAAATCGATCAAAAGCCTGCACAATGGAGATGCCAGGAGCACAAGCTTCAGGGCCTGACAGGCCTAGATTTAGTGCCAAGCTTTGCCCCTGGGAACTGTCACTGGACATTGCATTAGACTCTGAGTTTCAGTTTCCTAACCTGAACAATGGGGAAATAATGTTTAATGGATTTGATTTGATTTTTTTAGAGAATTAAGTAAGTCACTTAGCATTAATAGGGTGACCAACTTCCGGTTGCTCAAGACTGACCTCTTTTAAAACTGTGAGTCCCAGATCCCAGGAACCTCCTCAGGCCCCAATAAACCAGGACCACTGTGATCCTAATTATAGCTACTGAAATGACCATGTTAGTCACACACACCAAATTTAAATAGGAAATATGACCTGTTCTTCTGGAACATTGAATATCCCTACTACTACTACACTACCACTATTACTAAACAACCCTAGAAGATAGGCATTCGGCTAAAGGATAAGCTGGAGTTCTGTATACTAGTGGTGGGCTCAGAAGGTTCCAAGCCATAAACAGATCCACTTTCAAATAATTACACTTGTTACCTTTAGCTAATTAAGCCACTAGAACAATACTGCGTTTTCTTGGCAGTGTGTTATAAAAGACACACTTTCAAGCCTGAGACATTGACAGAAAGGTGTCCCTGCCCTACATATCGGAGAGGACATGGAATTAGTAGTTGCTGCCATCAGAGCATTTGTAAACCTCTCATTTCAAGACCAAAAAAGAGAAAGAAAGGAGAAAAGACCTACAATACCAGATATTTGCTTTCAAATTTCCAAGAAATAAGTCACTTGCCCTCTTCTGAGAAAAGAGCTATGCAGGTATATGAGCAGTGACACCATTCTGTTTCTCAGAATATTTTCCCTCCTTCTGATGTGATTTCCAGTCACACAAGCCTTTCACAGCCTACTCTCTTTATTTAATGACAGGAAAACGAATCCTGGTCCTATTGCAAGTATTGACTGAAAAAAAAAAAATCTACACTTCTTAACCCAGTGATGAGAGGACCCTATTTGGCACCTTTTGCTTTTCTGGCTTTCTGCTAATTCAGTCCTTCCTCCACTTCTAAAATTCTTGTTCTGTGAGTTTTATCACCATGGCTGCTTGTTAATGGGCCACCTCTTATTTATCACCCTGCTTTGCAGCTTTTCTATTCTTTCCTTGCCTCATTTTAATTTCTACAGGTTTAATACTCTGTGAATCATAGATTTTAGCCTTTGTGAGGCCGCCTCTTTCATGAAAATAACTTACTGGCTGCCCTTTCTCAAGGGGTCCCACACTGACTGTGATAACTTCCTGGCAGTCTCAACCCAGGTGGCTTGTTTTAGTTGGGGTCTAGAAGCTGATGACTAGCTCATTCTCCATGCATGTGAGGGTTGCCTGGCTATTTTGTGGAGGTCCAGGCTAGGAGTGCAGCTAAACCCCAGCTTTTGTTCACATTCTCCCTAAATGGAAGAAGTGATGATCTCAGCTTTAATCTACCTCCGCAAATGTATCTCTACCTGACACAGGATGTATGAACCTTTCTACAGCTCCCTGCAGGCAATGGGGGAGGGGCAGGAAGCAAGGCTTACTGAGATTTTGATTTAGCAGACACCTTTTTTTTTTTCTCTGTATAATATTTTTAGGTTATAAAGCAATATATAATTTTAATTTTGAAAAATTCAAAGCAGAGAAGGGCATGGTGAAAAGTAGTGCTTGCTCCACACTCTGCTTTCTCCAGACGTAATCGCAGCTAATGATTCTTAGGGAACGCTGCAGGGATTTTCTAAACATATACAAGCATAGGTCTCTTTCCTCCCTCCCTCTCTTTTGCTCCCCCTCCCTCCCCCCACACTCTTCTTTCCTGGTCTTTAAATGCAATGTGCATTATATATTAATTTGTTTACTTATT